TTAAGTTGGTCTCCTTTTAAAGTTTATCATTCCCATAAACTTCATTTATCTTGAACAGTTTCTTACAGCATACAAAATCCTCTAGTATGAAAACTGCTGAACACAAAATCATTTCGTATTAGAAGTTAACAGTGTCACTGAAGAAATTGGTAAATCTATAATAAGTTATAACTTCTTTACAGCTGCCAACTACTTAATTTCATATGGTTTAAGTTCAAGGTAAAATATTCGTTAAGTTCAGGTCTTTCAACAAGTAATCCTTTAGATAAAACATATACAGTTGTTTTCAGCAGGTAGGATCATTGGAAACCTGTCAACAATGGATAGATGTTTCGTCCTAGAATGAGATTCTCGAAGTTCAAATGAAAAGTTTTGACAAGTAGGACAAAACAAGTTGGACATGAGGACAATTACTGCAAGAAAACATTAGAAGAAGTTTACACCATAACGTAAACTGACAGAAATAGGAAATTGTGAACCATTAAATTCTGAATCAGTAGGTGAGTGGTTAAGATGTTCACCATGGAACTTGAAAGTCATTGATTCAACCCTATATTATTATTATTATTAGTCCCTTGGGTTCCTAGTGGAACATAGGGCTTCATTAGCATGTCTCCAGTGAACTCTGTTCTCTGAGATCCTTTGAACCTGGTTCCACGACAGCCCAGAAGCTCTCATTTCCTCCTCACACGATCTCCTCCATGTCACCCTCACCTCGGACACCCAACTCGTCGCTTCCCATGGGGATTCCACTCGAGCAACTGGCCTGACGCGTGATGTCCCCAATCGGCCTTCTCACTGTATGCCCAATCCATCTCCACTTACTTCCACTACATATTTGTTGCGTGATAGGTTCTTGCTTTGTTGGTTCGTTCCCAGAGCTCCTTGTTGCGTATTCATTATGGCCATCTTATATTCAGTATCGAGCCAGTGTAGGTAGTTGTTGATGGATGTCTGCAGTTTATTGGAAATACCTTTCGTGACGCGCCAGGTTTCTGAACCATCACACAGAAGCACTGACTTGACTGGGTTGGTGTTGAAAATCCGCATCTTGTTCCACATACTGAGTGCAGAAGATCTCTACACTGGTCTCAGGCTGATGAACGCCTGTCTGACTTTGACATCTTCGTCTGTGCCGCCTGTAGTTGAAACAGTGCTGCCTAGATAGGTGAAGGAGGATAATTCCTTTAAGTTTCTCCCGTTGATGGTGATTGGAGTTTGTTGTCGTTGTTGTTGTTGTAGTTGTTGGTTGGGTATCTTCATCACTTCTGTCTTCTCTATATTCACTTGAAGTCCCGTCTTCGTTGCCCTGCCTCTTCTATCAACTTGTTAGTTTTTGCCTGTAGATCTTCAAGTTTATGTGACATCAGGCACAAGTCATCACTGGCGAAATCCAAGTCTTCTAGGTTCTTTTCCTCAGTCCAACGTATCCCCCAATTCTCGCTGCCCACTGTTTGTTGCATGATCCAGTCGACCACAATCAGGAATATCATGGGTGATAGTAGACAACCTTGTTTCACTCCTGTCTCCACTTCAAAATCATCACTGAATTCGACCCTATACTAGAACAAAACAACTATCTATTGCTCTCAGGTTTCCAGTGTTTCTTCAACTGATGTCAGTCTATGATGAATATCAACGTGGAATTAATGTACACTTCAGTTAAAACACAACAGATTCTTTGTCTTGCCAATTTTTTTAACATCTACTGGTGATATACACATTTTCATCATGTAATGAATGAATATGTCCCTGAGTGACTTTCATATTCTTAAGAAAGTTGAGAGAACCGAAGAAATATATCATGAAGACTGTCGCGGTTTATTGTTGAAAGTCATGATAAAAGAAGTGAGTATTACCAGGTTTTTCACTGTATATATAGCTGTATTCAATATTGATAAGAATCTCTTAGAAAGCCTCATTTTGATAGACTGATTGCAGTATGGGGATATGGTGCGTATTGAGAGAGAGAGAGAGAGAGAGAGACGGAGAGTAAAAAAGATTTGTATGTACAACAGAGTCTTTAAGATTATCATTTAACCTTATCAACTCAAGTATGCAATTCAGAGACTGGACTGGTCCAAGTTAGTTTCCTTCAAGTTATATTTCTGTGTCTTGACCGATTGGTTGATTTTCAAATCTTAACCTCGGTTTTGTTTACCCATTGGAATCTATGATCAATGGACTAAGGAAAGTGCCTAATACTGGTTTTAACTGTCATTATTTTCCCGGTTACTATGTCTGAGTTGACCCTACAGCCCCTAACGTAAAATCAAAAGACTGCCGAAGAGGACAAAGTAGGCTGCTAACCCACAAAATGCACAGTTATTTGCATTTAGCAAAATATATTGGATGTGTTTAAAGTCGTAAAGTGTAGAGGGGCATGATCAGAATATGAAGGAATGACAACGAAGAAAGACACATGAATGACATTAATAATTGGTTGTTAGTGACTCTCATTGAGGGTTCCTTCTACCCATCCGATGGATGAATGAAATGAACCTATCAGTTCATTACTGTCATCATATTAATACGTATATTTAGGTAAGTGATTCCCATTCTGAACCAGTCAAATTTAACCCACAAAATCAAGGCTATCTCATGTATTCCAAAAAGGACTCGATCAGTTGTTCCCACTTCGTATTCAGCTCCATTTAGATCAGATCAACACAAAACAAACACAGTCAAGTATCGCTGATCCTCAATGCACTCATACATAAATCTTTATTTTTAAAAAAATTCGATTTCTTCTGAATAGCTGAAACCAGTAGCTGTGGCTAGGCAGTGTCAGATCCATGATTAGGATGCTACTAACTTGGATCCTTCTGTAACTTAAATTTAATTTAAAGCCCACTCATCAATTTCTTGAATTCGATTATATTGCCAAGAAAGTGAAATTGTTATTAAAAAGGTGAATCTAAGAAGTAAAGGTGAATAAGATAGGAATGTACGCAGAAAAGTAGACTAACTTGCTTTACATAAGATGAGAAGTTTATGAATATAAGGGTAAAAGTTGGGCACCGTTGTTCATTGTAAATCCATTTTAGTCCGTTTATTAGAAATATCACATAGTGAAACTGTAGCATTTACTGAATAACAACGTTTCAAACACAATTCATTGTCCATATTCATATCACGTAACTAACTACACAACTTCCACACACACTTCATATATACTCCTAATTTTCTCTCCTTCTCTGTGATGACAAGGCTAGTAGAATCTCCCATATATCTGGAACAGGTCCACAATCATGTGTGTTGGTGTTGATTCGATCAACAAAGATTCAGTCGGTTATCAATCTCTCCCTCCCTGCATCCAACTAACTTACTGTTCAACACTGTCACCCTATCCCACCCTACTGTGTGATTATGTGTCATTGTATGCAGTACTACACCACAGCTTTTCTCTAGATTTCTTATCTGATTACGATCTACTTATCTTGATTTAGCTAAGTTGTCGTACTCTGTTATTCTAATTGACCCTGGCTAGTCGACTGATTTGACCGATGTACTCCACCTGGCAATCATTGTAAGGGACCTGGTAAACCAGATTAGTTTGCTTAATTCCATCGATAGGATCTTATAAATCTACAAAGCTTGTTTCTAAGCGAGTTTGTTGGTTTAAATGTCAGTCAGTTTAATCCCAACCAGCCAGCTTTATTGAGAATTGTTGGTGATGCTTGTGAGTTGCCTTCCTTGTATGGTAACACAGTAGATGCTTTGAATTCTCCCTTAACCCAGTCGCCATTATTGCCATAAATAGTGTGATTATTATTGGCAACACCTATATTACTATTATAACTACCACTGCTAATATTTTTCAAGCGATTTCTTATGAATTTATATATAAATTTTGTTGGGTAATTATTGAGACGTGGGGCATTCTCGATGTGTCTGATTTCTTGTCACAGATTTTCCTATCTACTGGTTAGCTTTATCGCTCTATGACTTAAGTATTTAACTAGGCCTATATGAACTGAAATGGGGTGGGAGGATATGAAGTCTCAGTAGAGATTCGAATGGGTAGGTTTCCTATAGACACTAGTCTCTAGATTTCCTTCTTGTGTTCGTTTAGTCCTGCAAGAAATTAGACACATCAATAATAACCTACATTCCAATAATCACCCAACAAAATTTGTATATAAATTCATAAGAAATCGGAAGAAAATATTTGCAGTGGTAGTAATAGTAGTAATATAGGTGTTGCCAATAATAATCACACTATTTATGGCAATAATGGCGACTGGGTTAAGGGAGAATTCAAAGCATCTACTGTGTTACCATACAAGGAAGGCAACTCACAAGCATCACCAACAATTCTCAATAAAGCTGGCTGGTTGGGATTAAAGTGACTGACATTTAAACCAACAAACTCGCTTAGAAACAAGTTTTGTAGATTTATAAGATCCTATCGATGGAATTAAGCAAACTAATCTGGTTTACCAGATCCCTTACAATGATTGTCAGGTGAAGTACATCGGTCAAATCAGTCGACTAGCCAGGGTCGATTAGAATAACAGAGTACGAAACTCAGCTAAATCAAGATAAGTAGATCGTAATCAGATAAGAAATCTAGAGAAAAGCTGTGGTGTAGTACTGCATACAATGACACATAATCACACAGTAGGGTGGGATAGGGTGACAGTGTTGAACAGTAAGTTAGTTGGATGCAGGGAGGGAGAGATTGATAACCGACTGAATCTTTGTTGATCGAATCAACACGAACACACATGATTGTGGACCTGTCCAGATATATGGGAGATTCTACTACCCTTGTCATAACAGAGAAGGAGAGAAAATTAGGATATATATGAAGTGTGTGTGGAAGTTGTGTAGTTAGTTACCTGATATGAATATGGACAATGAATTGTGTTTGAAACTTTGTTATTCAGTAAATGCTACAGTTTAACTACGTGGTGTTTCTAATAAATAGACTAAAATGGGAAGTTTATTTGGCATTTATATATATATATATTTGTGTCTTCCCTATTTCTATCTAGAGTTAGTTCACGAGTGTCTTCGAACTGGTTTGAAAACATCACCTATACCATTCTATCAGTGCACATCCACCTTCTCCTTGTTGTATAAAATATCCAGTCAATGTGAAGCAGCTTCAATAGTGATAAATAATTTTGAAGGACGTAATGTTAATAAGAGTTATCAGCAGAGGTATAAAAATCTGAAGAATACTCACGCTAAACAGCAGCAATCCAATATGTCCATTAAGACTGAAGATAAAGGAGATTTGAAAAAATCATTTCATCAAACTTACAACAAAAGCATGAAGTCTAACAAGAAATCGTAACAGGAAATAAATCCTGTTCAAAATTAAGGTGATTGCTTCAACTTCACTGTTTCACATTGATTTCTGTTATTTATTCATTTATTATTATTATTATTCTACTGTCAGTAGCAATGTATTGAATGTAAGCTCATGATCTCCACAGTTTGACTCATTTGAGGATAGTTACCTTTAGAAAGTGAAACTAGACAAAGGTTTAGTGAAAAGAAAACTTCATAACAGAGTTGTTTACATTTATTTAGGAAATAATTTGCTATACTTCCTTCATGTATCCCTAACTAATTGACACACAATCTACTTGGTCAAGATGTAATCGGTGTTCAAGTAGATTGGATTTGTGTAACTACTATCAAGAAACTAATGAATATGCAAATAACTGAACACCAGCAGTAGATCTCATAAGTTGACAGCAACATTGTAATCATTAAAAAATTTAGGCATTGTGGTAGACCGTTATTTCATTTAAGTCTGTTTATTAGAAATGTCACATTGGACAAACATTATCAGTTATTGGATAACATTTCTGGAACAATTTATTTTCCATATTCATAACAGCAGATAACTCCACAACTTTGAGACAAAGTTTATGTAGTTCTAATCCTTTCTCCTTCTTTGTCATTATAAGGGTAGTAGAATTTTCTATATATCAAAGACAGTTACGAAATTATTTCCATTACTATATATATTTTGTGTTGGTTCGACAAACAAGGATTCGGTTATCAATCTTTCCTACCACCTAACTAACTTAGATTTGATGTAATATTGTCTCTATATCCCATCCTATTGTGTGAGCAGTCTTGCTGTGTTGTTCTGATTGACCATAGTCGACAACTTCAAACTACTTATTTGATCTCGCAATCCTTGCAAGGTATTTGGTAAACCAAATTATTTTCCTGAATTGCTGATGATGTTCACGCTTTATGCTGAGTGCAGTGTAGTCGATCTCCACACTGATTTCAGCTTAATATGGTCTCGTCTGTCTTGCTGTCTTTCAAATCCTGTCAATGACATCCTCATCTATGTGGCCACCGTCTGTATTAGAAACGATACTGCCTCCTAAGTAGGTGGAAGAGAATACTTCTCTTAGATTCCCCCCATTCACGATGATTGGTGCTTCTTGTTGTTGTTGTTGTTCTTGTTGTTGGATGAGTATCTTCATCACCTCTGTTTTCTCTACCTCCACCTCAAGTCCTATCTTCGCCCCTCTACCTCATCTATCAACTTGTTGATTTTCGCCTGTTGATCTTCGAGTTTGTGCGACAAGATATTAGACATAAATCATCATCATCATCATCGGCGGCGGCGGCGAAACCCAATCTTCTAGAGTCTTTTCATCGATGAAACAGTGCATGCCCTCTTCTCACTCATCACTGTTTGTTGCATGATCCAGTCCACTCTAGTTGACCACAATCAGGAAGATGATTGGTGATAGTAGGCGGCAGCCTTGTCTTACTCCTATCTTCACTTCGAAGGTGTTACTGAGCCTTCCGTTGTTAAACACTTGGAATGTGAATGAGATTGGTAAATGTTTGTGCCACTGAAGGCGTAGTGTTCAACAGTTGCCTGCCAAATTACTTCTCGGTAGACTAGCAGAGCTGAAAGCCTCTGAGTGTTTTTTGTTTCTGATAATTCTTCGATGGTATTGACGCAGATCTTTCACATTTTCCACCTGATTAAGCCATTCGGTACTCATATTTATCCTACTTGTTTCGGTCATGAGAATAGACATTTGTTCATCGGTTCAAATCTTCAGCTGTAACCTATTCAGTGAAGAAATAAAATTGCTTACTGACTTAGAATTGTAAAGATTCTTCCTTCTCTATCCATGGTTTAACGTATTCCTTAAACCAATCAACTAGACATGGTACATTTGTTAACATGTTTTCTTATTTTACCTTCTGTTTGTTTTACCTCAGTTTCAACTCAAAAATCGCTTGGATCCATTTTGCCTTGATTGAAGACCTACTTGAAAATATTATTCGGCATATATGCACAGAGACGAAGTAAGCAAATACTTATACAAATTATTTGTTATCAAAACAGTCCCATTTATTATTATTAATATATGTCCCTTGGGTTCCTAATGGAACATAGGGCTTCAGCAGCACGTCTCCAGTGAATTCTGTTCTCTGAGATCTTTTGAACCTGGTTCCACGACAGCCCACAAGCTCTCATTTCCTCCTCACACGATCTCCTCCATGTCACCCTCACCTCGGACACCCAACTCGTCGCTTCCCATGGGGATTCCACTCGAGCAACTGGCCTGACGCGTGATGTCCCCAATCGGCCTTCTCAGTGTATGCCCAATCCATCTCCACTTCCTTCCACTGCATATTTGTTGACCGATAGCTTCTTGCTTTGTTGGTTCGTTCCCAGAGCTCCTTGTTGCGTATTCTCCATGGCCATCTCATATTCACTATCGAACCAGCGTAGGTAGTTGTTGATGGACGTCTGTAGTTTGTTGGAAATCCCTTTCGTAACGGGCCAAGTCTCTGAACCATCACACAGAAGCACTGACTTGACTGGGTTGGTGTTGACAATCCGGATCTTGTTCCACATACTGAGTGCAGAAGATCTCCACACTGGTTTCAGGCTAATGAACGCCTGTCTTGCTGTCTTTCCGATTCTGATTTTGACATCCTCGTCTGTGCCTGTGCTGCCTGTAGTTGAAACAGTGCTTCCTAGATGGGTGAAGGAGGTTACTTCCTTTAAGTTTCTCCTGTTGATGGTGACTGGAGTTTGTTGTTGTTGTTATTGGTGCGGTCTCTTCATCACTTCTGTCTTCTCTATATTTACTGAAGTCCCGTCTTCGCTGCCTCGCCTCTTCTATCAACTTGTTAGTTTTTGCCTGTAGATCTCCAAGTTTGTGTGACATGACATTAGACACAAGTCATCACTGACGAAATCCAAGTCTTCTAGGTTCTTTTCCTCAGTCCAGTGTATCCCCGTCGTCTCGCTCCTCACTGTTTGTTGCATGATCCAGTCCACTACAATCAGGAATATCATGGGTGATAGTAGACAACCTTGTTTCACTCCTGTCTTCACTGCAAAAGCATCACTGAGCTTCCCATTGTAAATTACTTGGCATGTGGCATCTTCATATAGTTGTTGAATGAGGCGGGTAAAGGTTTGCAGTACTCCGTAGTAATGAAGCAGTTTACAAATTTCCTCTCGGTTGACGCTGTCAAAGGCCTTCTCAGAGTTGATGAAGTTGAGGTAGAGATCCAGTTGACTGCCATTCTATACTCTGGCAGTCCCATTAGATAATAAAAATTAATAAAAGGCAATTCACAGAAGAAAAGTTTCTTTCCTATAAATGGTTTTTAACTGCTGTACATCCTATTCATAGTTACAGCTATATATATATATATATATATATATATATATATATATATATATATATATATATATATATATATATATATATATATATATATATATATATATAGGTCACAAGAAGATAACGGCTATCAGGTAAAATCAGAGTTATCAAAAATTGCCTAGTGAATAAACTGTCTTAGGGAGATAACGACCAAAATGAAATTAGAGATTGACTATACCGTTTTTAACCCCAATATCAGGTTTGTAGTGCTGGATTACCAGAGATTCTACTGTGTTTGGGTGGTGAGTACGTACTCGCTTCGAAATATTTGATTTCATTTTATAAATGACTTTGAAAGAGGACTCCCGTGAGGCATAGTGATTAGAGATAACAAATACTTAGGAATCGAAATGTTGACGACTTTACACTGTCCTTTAGAGATCCATGTAGGATAGTATTCATAGATGTGTTTGGATAGAACACATGTTGTACGGTCTATGTAACCAGCTTCACAAGAGCAGGTGAATTGATAAACACCAATGGAGGTGGCCTAAAGCAGTACATTATTCTCTACACACCCTCGAATCACTTGTTGACTGAATAAAATTAGAAGCTGGACAGAAAAGAAGGTCCTCTTCAGTATCTCTGCCAATGTGTTTCCCTTGAATCCAATTTTTGTAAACAATGCCTTATTTGAAACCATGTGAGTTTCTCCTTTGAAAATTTTAGGTTTGATATTCCTGTCAATGTTTCTTGAAGGATAACTATTCTGGATAAACACTCTATGGAGTATTTTCAGCTTCTGATTTACTGCATCATTCATTTAAGTTCTTCTCTTTCGTGTGCATACTAAATGAATTGCTTTTCTTTTCTTGACTAGTAAAAGCCAGCTTTGAAAATGAGTTTACTGGTCATTACAGGTTTGTTTTCTGTGAATCAATCTCCCAAGGGAACTATCATGTCTTCTTTTCAACAGAACATCCAGGGAGTGGAATTCTGAGTTATCTTAGCTCTCCATGGTAAATTTAATTGACCAATAAGATTCATCAAACTTTCGTAGTATTTCTTCAAGGTTACTATTCTCCTCACAGGTGATTAAAGTATCATATAACTACCTCTTATACGGATAGAACTGGGTGATCAGAGGATGCAGTTAACTGTACTCCAGATATACCTTGATCTAAATTTCCCCAAGACAATTTATCCATTTCTGTGTTTATTTACAATAATCAACAAAGCAATTTTTGGTGAGCTTCGTTTGTCCTTCTAGTGGTTATCGCTCTGCGACTTATTTGACAATTTCTAATCAATTGGCACTGACCCATTAGCTGTTGAAGGATATACATATTGTTGTAACTAGGATAGGGATATACAGTTTATGAAAATGATTCAACGGAAAGAAAATTGTCTCCTACTAGTTTTCATTATTTCATATCGTATTTATTAGTATTTTATTATTTATCCCTTGGGTTCCTAGTGGAACATAGACATCCAGTATCACGTCGCCATCTCACTTACTTCTCTACAGTCCTTTCAAACCTGCTACACAACTCCCCACAAGCTCTCATCTCTTCCACACACCATCCTCTACATATCACCCTCACACACTCAACTAGTCGTTTCCCATTCAACTCCCACTTGACGGTCTGGTCTGACGCCTGATGCCCACAAACCGTTCTCTCAGTTCATCTTCAATCCAATCCATCTCCACTTTCACCTAAATATTTGTTGGGCGATAGCTACTTCAGTTAGTTCGTTGTCAGGACAGAGTTCATCCTTGCATATTCTTATCATTCTGACCATCCATCTGATTTCCAGCATCGAGTGAGTGTAGGCAGCAGCTGTTGATGATGTGTGTCTGTAGTTTGTTGGAAATGCTTTCTGTGACACACCAAGTCTCTCAACCACCACATAGAAGCACTCACCTGATTGACATTAGTGTTGAAAATCTGGACGTTGTTCACGCTTTATGCTGAGTGCAGTGTAGTCGATCTCCACACTGATTTCAGCTTAATGAAGGTCTCGTCTGTCTTGCTGTCTTTCCAATCCTGTCAATGACATCCTCATCTATGTGGCCACCGTCTGTAGTAGAAACGAGACTGCCTCCTAGGTAGGTGGAAGAGAATACTTCTCTTAGATTCCCACCCATTCACGATGATTGGTGCTTCTTCTTCTTGTTGTTCTTCTTGTTCTTGTTGTTGGATGAGTATCTTCATCACCTCTGTTTTCTCTACCTCCACCTTAAGTCCTATCTTCGCTCCTCTGCCTCATCTATCAACTTGTTGATTTTCGCCTGTTGATCTCCGAGTTTGTACGACAAGATATTAGACATAAATCATCATCAGCGTCAGCGAAATCCAATCTTCTAGAGTCTTTTCATCGATGAAACAGTGCATGCCCTCTTCTCACTCATCACTGTTTGTTGCATGATCCAGTCCACTCTAGTTGACCACAATCAGGAAGATGATTGGTGATAGTAGGCGGCAGCCTTGTCTTACTCCTATCTTCACTTCGAAGGTGTTACTGAGCTTTCCATTGTGAATTACTTGGCATGTGTTGTCGTTATATAGCTAGTTGTTGAATGGGGTTGACGAATGTTTGTGGGGCTCAAAGCGTAATGTTGAAGTAGTTGCCAAATTACTTCTTGTTCTATGCTGTCGGAGGATCTCTCAAAGGTGCCATCCTGTTCTGGCCTTATGTTTGAATCCATAGTATGTTTCAGCCATTTCATATTGTTTGGGCTTGATGTTTTGGTTGAGGTGGACAGAAGCATGAGTTGATATATTTACTATTTTTATATTATGAGAAAGGTGATTCTTTAAATTTTTCTGTTTGTGCAAACAGTACATTGTTCAATGTGAAATATGACAAAATTGCAGTTGTTAAACATAAATTTCCAACTTAAATTACTTGCAACACCGAGGCGTTTGTACAGGAGTACTCCTGCCAATAGTGGTCGGTAAATTCGGCCTTACTAATGACGAAAGACTACCAGTTATAACATGTCTTTCGCTCAACGAGCGGCTGTTGGCACTTAGGAGCTCTGGCATTTGAACAGACTATTGCTGGGTTTTGAGTCCCAGACAAAAAATGTCACTCACTTGCATGCAAGCACATTTAACTGATGAGTCCTAAATAACACGAAACACACGATCTGAATTATACTTCCAGTCACTGTAGGTCATTGGTTTCAAAGCAAAATCACCAGCAGTAGGAAAGTATCCTCACGGGGCCCATACGTCTGTATTGCTCGTTCAATTCGATCTAATCAAGGACATGACACCGCAGTCTGTAACATTTATTAAAGATTGGCTACATTTTAACTTCAGGTTTATTTCTAGTATCAGCACTGAGTACTTTTTGATTACTTTGATAGCGGTAAAGATTTTCATTTTGAGGTGCAGGTCTTCCTATGCATTTAATCTCTGTAATTTAGGGTTGTTAGAGGACACATACAAAAGGATATAGCTAATGCTGCTGTAGTAAACTTAATACATCTGCATAACCGCACTAGGACGGAAGAGGAAACAAGACAAGGAATGGATCTCGATGGACATATGGAGGCTGATAGAGGAGAGGAGGATGGTGAAACAGAAGATGAACCAATGCAAGGATGAACAACGTATAGACTAACTGAACACAACCTATAAAACACTGGACAAAGAAGTGAAGAAGAGTACA